TTTAAGCAATGCAGTGAGAGTGTTTACTGTAGAGACTGTCCTTCATAAAACATCCAGTCCACACTCTTATTTCAAATGGGAATAAAGCTTCCACATAGTCCCAGCAGCAATATGACTGATGTGTCCAAAGCCGCTCCAGAAGACATGCTGTCCTTGCTTATTCCCCTCTTAGTGACAAACAGAACGGATCTGTGTTGCTTATATGTTTGGTGATCACTCTTGGCTCATTTGAGATGCCAAACCTCACGCCGTGAATGTAGATGAGAGTCGGCGGCCAAAAAAGAGCTGTCAAGTCGGACAATTCTTACTTCTTGTAGTCTATAAGCAAATGCAATTCCTGGTGAAGTGAATGCATTTCAAATATTGCTGCTTTTGCATGAAGACGAATATGATGACCAAGTAATTCTACCAAAATCCTTGTCTCTCCATCTACTTTTAGTAGAATAAAGCCATGATTTCAGATTTGGTGATAGTTGTAATCAAATCCTTCTATACCGTTCCCGCTCCTGCTCCTGACCGCTGCAAAAACACCTCAGATAAACCGCACACACCGCGCAGGTCTACACGCTAATGTGTAAAACAGAGACGTGTACTGTGCTACGCGGAAGGATTGATTTTAATAATTGGACGCCTGCCACAGTTTCATCCAATGCACTAAACAGATTTCTCCCATCGAGCCTCAGCCAAGAAGGCCGACGCAAAAGCTTTCAACTATCTACCTTTAGAGGTTTCTGAAAGCGAGTGGCCGTGGAAACTTTCCCCTGGATTCATTCCAGCTCTATATGGACAGGATTGTATAGTGCAGTTTGAATAGCATCACCTAACCTCGGAGAGCACTTTTGATCATCTCAACGTACAGTACAGAGACAGGATCTTACATTGCAGAATATCACAACATTTGGATGAAACACATTCGGAACAATAGCAACCGTTCTTCAATTACTGTCATGCGTACTTGGCTTAAACTCAAACCGGTGAATTGAGTCAAAGCCACCGTTTTCCCGTCTAACTGGGCCAAGAACAAGGGCACAGTTATTCCAGCAGCCGGGGAAAGCTGTGTGTGTCTCTGCAGGGTTCACCTGTGCTCACTGTCAGCCTCCTCACAAAGACACCAATCAACAGAATATGAATGCCTACACAATTCAGAATTACTCAGCTCCATCACACCAGAGATAGTGATCAGTCTTTAACAACCATTTCTCTGACTTCAAAACAACGTCCACAAACATACCAAAAAGACCTCCTCATTTTTCGTGTTGTTACTTGTTACGGTGTCACTTTACGTGGTTCCGCGTGGCATGAAGCTAGTCTGGGTTTTAGAGTAGTTTCCCAGCTAACGTTCTGAATAAGTTATGAACAAGTGTCCTTCCAGTAACATTAATAGACATTCGCTCAAAGTTCTCTGGTCCCTTCTAACTGAGCATTCGTCTAACTTTTGTTTTTTTTTTAAATGTAACTAGTTTTAGAATGTTCAGAGAAGATTTCAAAGTAACGTTCCCATAATGTTTGCAAAATAATAAAATGGAATGTTCCCTTAATGTTCACATGACTATGAAAAAAAAGCGTTAAACCCGTTTTGTACATGCACAGAACAACGTTTTTGTAACTTAATGGGAACATTAGAAAAACATTCTCATATTTTTGTAGCTGGATTTAGAGTTGACGAAGGCAAGCAATTCTCATTTTAGATGAGGTCCAGCCGGGCTCACAATGCTTGCTATAAATGTTCTCTATCATGGTTTGATCCAGAGTTTATGATTAGCATGTGCACTCGAAAGAGTGACATCTGCAGTCAACAGCCAATCACACGAGGGCGTTAGTCTGATTCACTTCTCACGAGAGAGTCAGTTCAACTCACTTCTCTGCTGAAGATTAAGAGATCGTTATGAAAATATGAATTTAATCATGCATTTACAAGGCATTAAAAACGCTGCTGCTGCTGCCGTGAAAGTTTGTACGAAGCCTCGCACATGACATGCAAACAAAAATATGTTTATCATGGCCACTAATTAGGAATTCTTTCCCACGAATTAAGAATCTGATCCCTCATTCTATTAATTCATTCCCTTATTTTGTTTAAATCGTAGTCACAATTTACTATTCATTCCCTTGTTTTAGTTAAATCTTAATTCTTAATCAGTGGCCACAGTATTTATCACACAATATTTATTTATCGTCTCACTGAATAAAGATGTCTGCCCTGACAACATTTCCCGATCGCTTACAGTTTTTTTCACGAGAAAACGTCGTAATGACTTATGCATGTCATATCAATCCATCATTTCTGCTAGTGTGTGTTTAACAGGGCAGGTTATTATGAGCGAGAGGTGCTTGTGCAGTGTGTCAGCCCCGCGGGAGGCTGTTTCTCTTGCTCTCAAACACAGAGACGTCACTCCTGCTGATGCTCTTCAGTGTGAATATTTCACAGAGCCTCTCCTGCCCATGAATAATGGATGGCGGCGAAATATAGAATCTCTTGTACATACATGGAGAATTCTGTCTGTGTTTGTCCTCTTTTCATCTCTCTCTCCCTGTTGTTCGTTTCCACGTCCCACTCGCTCTGAATATTTCAGCGTGTTTTTTAAATATGTCTCTCTGGCTTCCCTCAAATGGGTCTCTGCTTCTCTCACTAGCCACGTAAATCATTAAAAAACAGCAACAACATAAAGATCCACCTTGAAAGGCAGGGAACAGTAACAAAGAGTAATGATCAGACTGCAGAGCATGTCTTCACTGAAAGCCTGCCTGGAAATCCCCATCTTTCACTTGAGAAACTGATTCTGATAACTGGACAAACTCTCATAAACAGTGCTAAAACTGTATAACAGATCTAAATGGATCAATGAAATACAGAGTTCTGGCATTAAACTCTAGATGGCGCAGTCCGATAGGTCTAGCTCAATCTGACCTGGTGACATCATGGTCACATGGCACAGCTGATTGGTTCTCTCTTGTATTGGTAGCCAATGAGCTTGCTGCTCAATATTCAAATACCTGGCTTTTGTTTGCTGTAGCAGTAGCAGCTTGCTTCAGAAACCCTCCACCTTCCCCAGCTCCACCTCTATAGATCTGCTATGAGGTGATTCATGTATGCTATATGGGGGTTATTTCATGTAGGTTATATGTGCAGCAGCAGTATTTCTTACATGCTCACAGCAGCATGTTGTGGATGTATTAGCAGTAGCAAGTCTCGGTACTTGCTCTGCCTCAGCAGCAGCGTAGCAGATCAATTCCGCCAAGACCAAATACATTAACATTGTAATGTACATTACCATGCCAGTCCCTCCGAGAGTTGTCATGACAGAACTATAATCTTTAGACACAGTTCATATCACAGTAAAAATGACAAGTTCTGCAACTTAAAATGTTCATCTTAATTTCATTCACTAAACCTAAATGGTATCATATTTTAAAATCTGCCCATTTAGATTAAGCACATGCTTTATCTCAAAATGCTAATTGTCTAAATTAACATCAAGTGAACTCTTACATCTTGAGACAAAATCAGCGTTGAGAGTCACAAGTAGACCTTAAAGGCCCGTTCACACCAAGGACGATAACGATAAATATATAGTTCTAAAAATCATTCTCAATATTAAAGAATAGCATAGTTCACACCACAACTATAACGATAAAGACAAAGAGAAACTTTTATCATTGGAATCACTTTCAAAACAATTTTTTTCCCAGCTGATGAATGATAAAAAATTTACAGCCAATCAGAATCCATCCTGCTGTAACGAGCTTGAGAATTTAAAGCGGCAGACGAGCGTGCGCTTAGAATAAACAGACGATATCGTTCGCTGGTGTGGACGCTAATATCGTTATCTTTATAGTTATCGTACTTGGTGAGAACGGGGCTTAAGACTTGGTGCATGACAGGATCATGGGTCATGAGGAATCCAAATTTGCTGTACTATAGTTTCAGGAACAAGCACTCAAAAGCAAGCTGCAAAAATGATTGATTGTCTGTGTCTTCCACATTGTGACGTCACATTGACTGCCAACACAGCATCACATCAACACCTAGTTTAACATCATGACCTCTATCGCTCATCCACTGGTGCCATACAGGCGAAATAATAAGACGAGAGCAGGACGAGCGCTTTTCCAACACAACAAAAGATTATTATGGGTTGTTCACACAGGACGCGTTCTGCCTCAGTTTTTAGAACTGAATGGACTTTCCTGAAAGTTCTTGGAAATTCACAATCTTTGAGTATTTATTTCAGCACTGTTTCATTTTATTATTTTCCTTTTTTAAATCGAAATCCTCAACCCAGCCGAATATTAACACATTTCAGCTCAGCACAAATAGTAATTACTAAAAAAGGGAATAAGCATGCTTCTGGATCTGCATTAAAATTCATAAATTTGAAAGGGGAAGGAGCATCAGTGAATTACAGCAATGAGAACCGTGGGTCTCTATGCACTGCCAGCTCTCATGTGCTGTCAGAGTAATTTGACAGTGATAACCATGGGTAATGATCATTAAACCCAGCAGCAAACACTGTCATAGACTGCCTTATAGCAAAAAACTCATTCATAACTAATAAAAACACAAAGAAAGAACATCTGTTTTACATCTAACTTAATACATGACAGCCAATATATGAATACTGAGGACGTTTTTCACTTTAAGCACACAGTGAGCTCCTGAACCAAAGCAGGACAGAAACATCATCCATCCTAACTTCCACCAAAATCACTCAAAATACAATCAGGTGACAACGCAGGTATCAAAAAGCTGATTTATCATGCACTCAGTGACAATGCAATAACCTGTTAAAAGTTTTCCATCAAAATTTTTCCAACGGCTGTCAAGTGAGTTCTCAGGTTTGGTTCTCCTGTTTGTTCTCCTTTGTCTCTAGATATCTGCTTCAATGCAAACTCATATTAACTACATTATTTTACAAATGCATCATGGAATATTAATCATCAGTTCATCGTATGCATCACTTGAAAATCAATCCAGAAAACTGCAGAAAGCAGGGACTTACAGTCTGGACAGAGCCGCGTTCTTCTGGAACAGAAGCTCTGGAAGCTGGTGAAGCTGGTTTCTGTTCAGACGTCTTTGAGAAAAGAAGAAACAAACACATTCACAGATTGAGCAAACACAAGACAACAGTACTAGATCTACAGACCCATGATTGTGATGCAAAATTGCTGATTAAGCCTTTAAATGCTTAACCTTAGTTATGTCAGGGGAACTGAACCTGTAATAAGATGCTTTAGATAATGACAGCAAACCTCCTGAAATATCCCGAAGAATGCTGGAAACTATTCAAATCAAGCAAATTAGTTCACAACCACTGGCAAAATAACACATCTAGAGCTGATGGAAAGAATGAGTGAAGTGTGAGTTTAGCTCCACAACACTGTCCGTAAATTAAATAAATGTTAAATTGATTAAAAGTCCTCTCTTTGTTTTGTGCTCCCGGTTATGGAGGGCCATACAAGCCATAATTCATTCTGGCTCTCTCACACACTTATATTCTCCCTTCACATTACATTTTTGCTCTCATAGTCACATAGGCCTATTTTAATGCACACATTTTCCTCTTATATTCATATATTTTACGCACACATTTATACATTTTGCTCTTTTGTAAATGTATTCAACGTATACATTTAATATCATAAGTAATAAATGTGTGTAAGAAGAAAATGCATGTATGTCTGAAGAAAATATGTGCCTGTACGAGAAAAATGTCGAATGTGTGAGAGAGTTGAGTGGAAACGGACGGCAGGTCAGGCGCGATCAGTGTTGCGTTCAGGACAGGTCATGAAGCATTTGGGTTTTAAAAACTAATTTAATAAGGTATAATAAGGCGATGAGGTTACATCATTGGCCTCGTCCCTTGAGTGAGTTGTGATTGAGGGCGCGGGCACATTCTCAGCTGGGTATATCAGATAAAATTATTATAAGTGTCTATGGATTTTAGGAAATGAGTAAAGTGGGAGGCTACAGGTTTAGGGTCAGCAATATGTTTATATTATTTCCTTATTTCGGTTTATTTAGTTTTTGATTTTTTTTTTGTAGCAAAATATCTGGCAACACGGCATCGACACCGGCACTTAAACTGGCAGTAATCAAAAAAGGCTCATAAGCAGCGCGGGCCGGTTATTCCTGACAGGACACCACATTCGGGAACACAGAGTAGTGATCATCAGGATATTATCTGTAAGAGACGTATCAATCAGGGCTCGACGATAACACGGCGCCAGAGTGAAAAACACTCGGGACAGGTGACGGATCTGTCACTGGCCGGATCGGCCCACTGCCCGGACAGACAAATACATGCACAATTATGCCAAAATACAAGATATCTGGGGAAGTTTAAACCGAAGTGCAAGATGAGGCGAAGAACTCAATTCAGTACACGCGCGCTGTTTCTATGCCTACAATCATTTCCCAAAATGTCATTTGTGTGGAAATATTACCAAGTCTGTCAACAGACGAGATGCACTGAAGATGAGATAAGACGCGCAAGCAGAGAAAATGTGCAAATTCATTGTTTAAAACCATAAATATTGAATCGGGGTGGGGGTTAAAATAAATGCATTTCTGAAGAGAACTGAATGTCTTCAGAAAAGTTTCGATGGCATTTTCTCTTCCTCTTACTTCCGAAAAACACATATGAAAGTAGTGTTTATAAGCGCATTGCTTACTTTTAAATACAAGAATAATATAGTCCATTTCAGTGGTCTATCAGCAATTATCAGTGTCAAAATGATTGAGATGACCAATCGGAAAAATAAGGCAGGCTTTACTGAGTTCTCAGCGTGATGCTTAATGGTGAAAGAGTTGAGCGCGAGGTAAGATGAAGGCTAGAGCTAAACATTTAATATCTGTTTTACAATAGAAATGTTAAACACGACTGGAAAACACACTCTATTTAACTTTTTTGTCCAATTTTGAATTTAAAATGTATAATATAGAATCTACATACCCACATATTTGCCTAAAACCATTTTAAATGATTGCTATGCCATTTATTTTTATATGGAGGCCTGTAGTTTAGTAAGTGGGCATTTGAGCACACAGCTTAGCTGTTTTCAGCAGCATGTCAGTGAGCTGATGTTGAACACTTACAGTCTCTCCAGCTCTCTCATGTCATCAAACGCGCCGCGCTCCACTGTCCCAATCTGGTTCTCCATCAGCTGCCTGTTTAGAGAAAGGACAAACCACAGGAAATGACTGAGATTCGAGGAGTGGAGCAGGAAAAGAGCTGCTGACTGTGGATGAAGACAGAAGCCACTGCCACATGAACCGTGAGAGGAAGCTCTGAAAATAGCAGTTCTGTGAGCTTTATGCAGATTTAAGTCCGTTTCACTCCGAACTCACAAGCAGGGTGTTAGTCAGCAGCGGCTTCACACAGACAGAACTGTAACTACAGAAAATGCAAGGATTTATTTTTATCATTTTTTACAGGCAATAAATTCTAAAATGCTTATAGTAAGTTGACCAAAGTAACAAACTTCATTGTCAAAAAATAATATGAGGATGAAGAGCACATTTACATCCAAAAGGTAGCCAAAAAAATAGCTCATAGTGTAGCTGTAAACTGCTTAAATCATCTTAACATAAATGAGAAAATTAAATAAGTGCCATTTGTGGGTCTTCCATTGCATTGAGTTTGATAGATGTCTTTTTTTTTTTCAAACAGTGGGTAAGTAGTTCACTCAGTGTTTGCTTTACAAAAGCCTACATCGCAAAATATAGTGCTGATAAATAGTTTCCTGGTGCCTTTTTGATGTGATTTAGTTCAATAATAGGGCCCATGCTTGTGTTTTCATTGCACAGCACTGCTCTGCCTGCACAAACAGTGTGAATGCTGAAATATCTGCACAGAGAGTTCCCTTGGAAAGACATCTAGGACAAACTGGCTGTAATGCAGTGTCAGGATATTTGTCTGCCCTTGAGAGTTTGAAGATGTCAAACAGAGAGTAAAAAAACATGCTTACATGCTTTTGAAAGAAAGAAAGAAAGAAAGAAAGAAAGAAAGAAAGATTATGTTATATTACATGTAAAACAACTTACAAAACTCGAAGATACTTGAGTCCAGAAAAGTCATTTCTGTTGATGCGTGTGAGGTTGTTTCCATTTAGTTCCCTGAAAAAAAAGGAACATAAGTCAAGGGTAAATCTATTGTCAGCCCAGGTATAGATACAACATTGCTGCAATGACTTATGCTCAACAAGTGTCAGAAACCAAACAATTGTATTTACAATATATACACACACCGCAGCTTTTCATTTTTGCCGACTATAACAATACAAGAATCACTGGACATTAACACATAAAACATAACCAAGAACAACTGAGAAGATGCAAAACAGTTGCAAGGCGAATCAATATGATTTCATCTCTTAAGAAAATTGATAAATCGATGTGCAATGAGTCGGAATTGACTGAATAACGCATGACAAGTCAGAATATTATTACATATAGAAGCTTGCTGCTGAAAAATACTGTGGGTTCTTTGCAAATGTCTGCTCATTATTGGGAGCATGTGTTTCCTTTTTTGTTGTAAACCTCTTCCCCAATCACTGAGAGAAACACACACTCGCACAAATCTCCCATGAATACTGGATACAAAGTCATGCACTTTCTATTGGTTCTAATGACCACTCCTGGGAGCACAGCAAAACAGAGACGGAGAGATTGCAGACAGATGTATGCACAGGTGCACAGGCACAGCCAAATAAATAATGGGCTGCTATTCATCAGCCACGGACAGATCTCCTGATATGTAGATGTTCTGCGTATCATTGTTTTGGAGTTCAGCCTTTCTGGTTTTCTTTTCTTTAAGAGCGGGTGGCAAATGTACTAAGGAGAAGACTCCACAAGAAGAAACCAGCTGACTTTAAAACGGCTAAAAATTTACATGTACAAAAACTGTCTCATATATCAGACTCAGTAGTGTCTTATTACGTTTACATTTACATTTAGCAGAGATGTATTGTTGATTTGGTAAGGGCTAACTTGCTTTCTAGCTTTAATCAATATAAAACCTAAATCTACAGGTATTTAATAGCTAGAATAATTTAATAGTTTGAATGTTTGCTGGTTAACGATATATGTATAGCTGAATATTCTTTTACCACAAAACATTGTGCTGCTTGTTGTCCTGTTCTGCAGAGCTCAAGCATTTACACATCTGAGGGCCATACTTACTGGACTAGTAGTGCTTAAGTGCACTTAAATATAGCTTACAAAAGTTTACAGTTTAATTCCACTGAAGAACCTTTCTGAGTTTTACAAAGATCCCAGACTTCTCCATTATTTAAAGAACTAGTTATCAATTATTGGATCAAATCTTAAAAGTATATATATATATATATATATATATACTCTAAAAAAAAAGGTGCCATTGGCGATGATTCCTTAGATTGCATTGGTGCACTTAATACCGCGCGCAATAATACCGTCTTCATATATCACCTAAACATGCATATGCATCGAAACCAGACATCGACAGAAGTCAGGCATATCCGGACGGACTCACCGATATTGATTTGATTGGGGAAGGCAGCGATGGATGTGCCGAATAGCCATAATAAAAAAAGCAGCGCGCTTTGAGCCATTTTCGCCCCTGCCTCAAAAATCAAGCCTTAGAAAACGAACTGTTTGAGGAGAATCATAAACGCAGAAATCCAGCCGTGAGTGAAGCGGAGCGACTCATGGAGAACAATTCTTCTGCATGTGAGGAGAGAGACAGACTGAGAGAGAGAGAGAGAGAGAGAGAGAGAGAGGGACTGGTGCTGAAGATGGTCGAGGCGACTGAGAGCATCACATCCAGAGTGAGTGCGAGCGGCTCCTCCAATTGGACCAGCAGGGCGATATTGATCAAACTTGAACTGACGTTGAAGAAGAAGATTTGGTAACACTTTCTATGAGGCCTGTAGATTTAATGCATGCGTTATAGAGGTTTTTCATAATGCATTATAGTAGCTTTCAGATTTGTTCACGAATTAACGGAGTCACATTTATAATGCATTATAACACGTAAATATTTATTTAATGAAGGTAATGCGTTTTAATGCACGCTATAAACAGTTAAATCTGCCCATAAAACGTTACAGTGCATTATAATATGTTTTATGTTATAAATAAATATACTGTATATTGCAAGCAAATACAATTTCTCTGTTGCATTATAGGCCTATTATATTCATATAATTAACGTCATTCATTCAAGTGTTGTTAAGTACAGTTAATATAGCTATGGCTGATGTAACGCATGCCTGCATGGTCTTGTGTTGTAATGCCAATCTAGAAATGACTAGCCCAATGTAATAGCCTACATTCTATCTGAGCTGAGGTTATTCTCACTATTCACGAGAACATGCATCTGGTTGAGACGTCATGAAAGAATCAAAATGCATTGAGAAGGAAAGTGGAAACCCACCGGCTAATATCACATTCAATGACCTCCTCAGCAGCAGCACCATGTCAAGGGTTCGTGAAGTTTACTCAAAGCATGTAATTATCTTAATTAAAACGCAACATTTGATATGATCAGGCATGCAGCCTTTTGATGTGTTTAGGTGAGTGCAGTGCATTTATTTATTATCACGCAATCTACTGATCTATGTCGCCATGCAGTGACGCGACGCGACAAACCAAACGCTGTCTTAATGATAGGCTACTGGATCTGCTGGCATTACATGCAGCGTTCAGTGCAGATGGGGTCACGTGGAAGGAAGACCGTATGGTATTGTTAAGGAAGGCGCTGACGCGTAACCTGAAGCGCTTTAAATTGAGCACCATCGATCGCTTTGTTAGGAATCGTTCACCGTAGCGTCAAGGGCTTAGGTTTCAGCATTGGGGGGGTTAAAGTGTGAACTGTTTTAGTAGAGTCCGGGGTCATGCTCACTCATAAGATTTATTTATTTGTTTGTTTGCATATATATTTATTTTTGTGAAATGGTCTTTTGTGCTACACTCTAAAAAAAAAGGTGCTTCAGCGGTTCTTTGGAGTGGTTAAGGTGCTATATAGCACCACTACCGTATAAAGAAGCTGTTAAGCCCCTGTATGGTTCTTCAGCGGTTCTTTGGAGTCGATGAGGTGCTATATAGCACCACTACCATAAAACCTGTAAGCCCCTGTATAGTTCTTTAAAGGTTCTTTAACTCTCTCTTAGTCTCTTAGTTTAGTTGGGGAAAGGGTTAAAACAACATTAAAATACAGTCTATTTCTTGAAGATATCATTTTTTTTGCCCCATAAGGAAATATTCCAGGGCCCCCACATGAGACCTTTGACCTCAGAAAAAAGGACCTCTCCACAAACAGCAACACCGACTTCACACATTACTGATCAGTTAGACTTTATTTCTGGAGTATCTAAAACAGAAGTTCTTTATTGAGAATTAAGGTTTAGATGTTTTGTTTTTTTTCTTCTTCAACTTACCGTTTTGGTGAATAGTGTTTGCTTTAGTTGCCTCTTGACCCTTGACTTTAATTTTAAGTTTAAAAAATACGTTTCTCTTTGGCTGTTACAATAGTGTTTATAAAGCACACGTGATGGCAAGGAACTTATGGTAAAATCTTTTCATGCGTCTGAGTCTCTGGTTGCATTTTATCAAAATCTGTAGTTCTTTTATGAGTTTTATGTTATTGCAGTTCTACGATACTACGTGACAATGTGAGAAAATTGTATAAACCACTTTTAGAATTATGGGTTATAAAGAGGTTTCAATTATGTCACTCATAGACATGAAGAATCAGCATGTGAACCTCAGCAATGGTGACAAAATATTCTGATAATTTTGATATGATTTTTGAACATCACAAAACAGGGCAGTAAAAAGTCACAACAAAAATGACAGCAAATCGTAAGAATAAAAGAAAATACTAAGACAATGCAGCTGCATAATATATTCATGTCGCAATGCATGCTGGGAGCCATGGATGAGTTATGATTGGTGCACCATTGTTGAGTGCTTTATGTGCTATACGTGCTATACGGCACCTCTTATGGTTCAACATGGCACCATTTGACAAAGGTGCTATATAGCACCTGTAAAAATAGGTGCTAAACAGCACTAAAAGTGGTTCCCCTATGATTACAAGCCAAAGAACCGCTTTTAGTGCTATATAGCACCTTTTTTAGAGTGTATATATATATATATATATATATATAAACTGTACTTGCATATAATATAATATGAAAAAATATTATATTATGAAATAAAAGGCTGTTTCTTAAGTACACTTTTAAAAAGTAAAAACATTTTACATTAAAGCACATTTAATCATCTTTTGTCTTGTTTTGATGTGTTGACTTACTAAATCACATGTGCAGGACTTATAATTTTAACTGTAGTACGTTATTTGATATTACATGTAATTAATGTGTTTAAATGAATTAAACTGCAACTTCATTACAAATGTGTAATTTAATACACACACACACACACACACATATATATATATATGTATTTATATAATATGAATATATATTTAAATGCGTCATACAAGTTTCAACAAAAATTTTGTTGAAGTATATTTTAATTTACCATTTTATAAATTAACCATGACCTGAGACAATAGAAAAAAAGGATGAAATTACAAATAAAGATTTAAGTCCATAGTCCTTAAGTACTTAAGTCCTATTCAGGTGGGTCATATTAAGTTCAAGCAATTGCATTTTATATAAATTGAAACTATAATAATTTATCATTTCAATATCAATTAATTGTACATAACATGCATATAACATAACATTTAAAGTATTCTAGTGTACTTCTTCTTCACAAGAGCAATGCTTCATATTTCTTTTGCTGTGTAACATTTCCACATTCACGAAAACCTATGTAAGGTTAAGTTGAGTTCACTTGTTGGGTCTAACAAGTAAGATTCATCTCACATGTGTTGGTCACTAATTGTCAAATGCCAAATCTCTTAAACAAAACGTCTCATTGACACTTCCATTGAACTTTAGTTGTACTTGCAATCAGATTGACCTAAACACATCTTAATACAAGGTTTAAAAATCCTTATAAGATAATTGGGCTAAGTCAAGTTTTGTGATGGGTAATTAGGCCTGATGAAGGCCTCACATTCCTTCAGGAGACACGGTTAAAACCCTGGAAGCTGATCAGAAGCATCAGCATTGATCCTTTTCCAGATCAGTCATCAGACTGACTGCTGGGTTCACATCCCACACAGAAAAATATCTGGTGTACGATTTACTTTTTACTCAGATATTGTTAGTAAATTTCACAAATAATTACAAAGAACACTTGCATTATTGCAAATTAAACATCAACTTTTTGAAGTAGAAAGACTGATTTTTTTCCCCTTGTAAAACATACTCTATTGATCTTTGTTTTATTTGCAACTTGCAAGTGGGAAAGTTCAAATGCACTAACAGGTTTTAGCAATCAATCAACTCTGAAGTCATGCACTACACAAATGTGTAACTAAATAGGTAAAAAATGTGAAACCTTTTAACCATATGTGCTTACCCTAAATAAACCCTTCTCACAGGTCACTGCTTATGACCAAAGAGTATTTCTACCCAGGAAGGCTTTGCTGTCTAAAGAAGAGCGGCTTAAATGACTAGCATTAGTTTTAGTATAGTCTTCTTGTTTAAAATATGCCTGTGAAAACACTTGTGACTTTGATTAAGGTTTGCTGCACTGCAGAGATTCACCTTTCACAGCCATGCAAAAGGTCTCAAGTCTGGTTTATTTATAAACCCCTTTAAAACTACAATGTAGACAAAAGTGATGAACATTAAAGAAAAAAAAAATGCAACCAGCCATTTTAATTTACAGTACCCAAAGTTGCAGCATCCAAGCATTTACCATTTATACACTGTAAAATGGAAACAATATTCTTGTTTTTGCAGTATTTGGGTTGTCAATCAGCTCGACGTATTCTTTTAAATGGCCTTAAAAAAACTACTGCTATAATCTAAACCTTAAAGGAATGTATGCAAGTCATCAAGCACAGTCGATTATGCTCTAATGAACACGGTCCCTGAATGAGCAAAACATAAAGCGCTTATTACAGTTCATTCAGGCCACTAAAAACCTGACTGTGATGTGGGTTTAAAGAGCTAACTCTACTACTGGCAAAGTGCCACAACCATTTCTGCCATAACACAGTTGAGGAAAAAAACAACGCTCGTTATCCAGCTAAATAATTAAAAGAGAGAGAAAAAAAGCACATTTCATGGAAACCCTTTGATGCTCTAATAATGCAGGTGGGCCAGTTATGGAGCTTTAACAAGTCTGATCCATCAAGCAGCCCAATTCTTCTCAATTGTTTGCAAGGTACCTTCTCAGGTAGAGGTTTTCACAACGGCCACCCTGACATTTGGGGAAACCCAAAGCATTGGTTTCACTTGCACAGAATCACAAGCTATTGCATTTTCTCTCTTACATTTGGACCCTAAATTTACTACCATGGAACCAAAGCAGCACTACATGCCTGCTCTTCCCCACTAGACAGAGCACATGATCATACACATCTCTGCCACTATGTGACTGCCATCACAAAGACCTCTCACAAGATAAAAGCTCTACATTCATGAGCTAATCTTATATTGGTTACGAGATTTATCACCGGAATCCAGCAGTAGAGCCTCTAGTGTTTCTCCATCTGAGCTGCTGTCCACTTTCAAGACAATCAATAAGCAATCAGTAGGAAGCACACTGGGACATTTGGCTTGCATTCCTGAGCACATCAGAGCTGGAGTTCATACGCGAGCGGCCCAATACTCTGAGCGATCGCTGCAGTTTAAAGAGAATTCTCAATCAGATCACTCACTCTTGACACATCGGCGCCGTTTGATCTCAGGCACTGCCGCTTCCGAAGTGTGTATAAATAGATGCACTAGCATAGATAAAATAAGAAGGGTCGAGTCTCTGGACGTCTGAAAATGAATGCAGGGTGCATATAAAATGACTGAGATTATTCATTTAAAGAGCTGATGCGTCTCAGAGCATGAAAAATTCTGTCTACGTTAAACAGTACTCATACGCTGGACGCATGATGTTTGCACATCAGAAAGCCGAGAGAGCTGCTTAAGGGCGGGCGTTCACGTTTACACGCGCTGTGTTAATGGCGTAACCCCTGCGAGCAGCTTTCTCTACACCTTAACTATTAGTTGTCTGGCACATATGCATACATTTACATAAGCCACATTCCCAGGCAGAAAGCCAGAAAATGTTTGTCTGGTGATTTGGTGATGGTCTGTAAGCATGTGTTTTAGCTCTGAACCGCAGGTTAATGGGGAAACCTTGTGGGGTGAGCAGAAGCGGGGGGTTGAAGTGTGATTTTCACACTTCCTGAACACATAGTCATTACAGAATCCATCAAAGACATCCAAGAGGTGCTATTTGATAGAAACACCCTATGACAAGTGCAAATTGAATTGTTTTGTTGATCCACCCCCAACCATCAGCCTTTCCAACACAGAGCCTTTTGACCATGTGGACACTGATGGCTGTAAAAAGTACTTGAGACACTCTGTCTGTATTAGTCGATCAGTCGAGTAATACATAATCACTCCTAAGCCATGCCTTGTCTGTAATGTATTTGACTTGATGAGGACCTAAGGGGGGGGGATCCTGTTTCACACTTCCACACGATGAGCCGCAGAAATCTGACCAAACACTCACTCTGGATGATGTAGTTCACAGTATATTATTCTAGTAAACTAGATCCGCTTGGTCCTTGAAATCCACACAATTTCAAATGTGAATTCCTTCAAATTTCAAAATGGTTCTGGTGCTTCTCTGACATGTATAATTCATCAGCGGTTTCCTCTGAACTATTTTAAGAGCAGCATTTACTAAACCTTAGGGGGAAAAAGGCTCCTTCAGTAAATATTTCATCCCAAATATCTCATTTGAAAGTGACTATAACATGACTCTGGTCAAAAGAGCAAAAGGAAAAGGGAAAGTTCTCAACAGCTGAAAGAGTGATAGGAAGTTTCCCTCCTCCTGCAGCATGTGACAACATACGGACGCATCCGTGCCGATAACATCTGATTGTACCTGTGCCTCATTGAGCTATTGTTCTCATTCAATTCCTCTTGGTAATGATGCAGCCCCCCCAAGCACCCACATGCAGGCACGCACATGCAGATGGTCGTAAAGTGTCTACTCACAGCCGCTCTGTGTTTCGGGGTATGTTCCTGGGCATGGTTTTGAGCCCTAGCCCGTGGCAGTCCACTGTGGTGCCGCTGCAAGTGCAGAGCGCAGGGCACGCCGTGGCAGCCTTGCACAGCAGCAGTATCCGGATACACGCCTCCACCAGTCTGCCTACAGAGTGTCCTCCTCTCGCAGGCATGATCTCGCAAGCTTTGAGACGTGAGAGCTCAGGCTAGTGCTCTCCCGTTTCCAGAACGTGAGAAGAAAAAAAGCGGCTCCTATGCTCTCACGATTCACTTTCTGCACAAACTCTCCCTTTCCTCTTCTTGGAGGAGTTGCTTAGCCGCTTCTGTGCGTAACGCGCTCCTGCCTCACTGCTTTGCTCAGCAGCGCTCTGCCGTCTGCCTGAAGAAAGGGGGATACGGAACAGCACAGGAACAAAAAATCTCTATCCTCTCTTACACACACACACACACACACACGGCAGTAATCCATCACAAGGGTCTACAAATAGCAGTTCCCGGACTCCTCCCACCCCCTACCCTCGCACCCCTCCCTATCAAACCCTGCTCTCCCCCACCCCTGCCAGAACCTTAAACTCCCCTCTCTCAGGCTCACAGGAGCCCCTACAGACAGACGGCACAGCGATGGCCTCCCCACATGGCACGCCGCAGCCGTCCCCAGGCAAAGGCCCCTGTGAAGAGAGTGGCCCGGGGAGGGGTCCACTGGGGAAAGGCAGTGTGCCCATACCCCCCACCATCCCTCCCCTCCCCAAAAGAGCAGTGTATAATCATGTTTTGGGATGGGGGAAGGTTAGAAATGCAGAGAGCAAAATGACAGAGCCTTTGTGGAAAGCATGGAGGAGGCTTTTTTTGTCACTTGACTTCTTCATTGAAAACCAAACCTTGGCTGAAGTTTGAAGGAGATCTTGTGAGCGTAACAAATTCATAACAATTGAAATCTGCCATCGGAAAAGAGCCCTTGTTTGTTTGGATAGTCATTTGATGATGACATAAATGTTGATTGTCTCAGCATTACACTTTGATTAAAAGGGAGGGGGGGTATTTCCTTGTAGTAAACTTTATAACAATGAATGCAATGAGATCATACCATGTTCTTTAGCAACATTAGATTTTTGGAATGTAAGACATTGTCAGCTTCCAACACTCCATCGCCGCACTCATACTATACTAGCAAAAGGTCTAATCATGGATATACTGAATAATGTGAATACTGAGTAAATTAAACCCCTAATGAAAACATGCCTTCCAAAATCTATGACATTCTCTATAGCATGGGATTACTACAATGTTTGAAAACAAAACGCATACAAAATGATATCTTCAAGCATTAAGCATGTTAAGTAGTGCACATTCAAATCATATTTGAATTGGGTTTTATTGGTGTTCTTGTGTGTCTGATACAAATAAAATGTTATAACAATGCAAAGAAAATAACGTGATGAATAAGCATTATGACTGGGACATTCTGTCATGTTGCATATCCATCCAGTGCAAAGTGTCAGCAACACTAACAACAACAATGTGTCCATCTTAATCAAAGGTTTTTCTGGACAAAAGGACATGCTGAAAAGACTTCTCCACATTTACCATCTGATTACTTCACACAAATTCCTCCACTGCTCCCCCTTGTGGCTAAAATTAAACAATAATTTTGCAAAAGTTTCTTACAGTTGGTTACATGCATTTCTTTATATGGTCTACTTCATAAAAACTCAAAACAGCTGTTGTTTTTTTTTTTTTCAACAACCAGCTAGGCATTTACCTAAGTTAATTTCCAAAAGGCACCAAAACACGTCAAATGTTCTTGACTCATTCTACCACTGAATAGCCTACTGTACATCTATTCACAACAAGACTATTTGGTGCAAAAGTTCTTTGAGAAAAAGGATTGTTTAGGACATTCACACTGGAGAAGAGCCAATGAAGAAAACTGACCAATGAGACTCACATTTCCCAGATTACTGATGCTGCACAATTCAGTGCAATGATGGTGCCAAACAGAAGAGGAACAAGAAACTCAGACATTGGACAACAGGCCAGCTGCTGTTGTCCATCCCCAACAAATCATGTATATAAAACATCTGCCGACCCATGTCTTTGCTCTTCCTCTTAGTCTTTTATTTAAAATGTTCATTCAAAAACCCAACCTTTAACTGAAAATAATTAAAAGAAAAATAAAATCATAAAACATGTTTTCTCAAATATACAGTTTTTTGTACCACAATTATTGGCACCCCTATTTAACTACGTGTCTTCTGCAGTACATATTAATCTTTGAGAAGACATGACAAGGGATCTGAGTGTTACGTATTCTTTACTTTTGGTTGGGACTTTCATGTTGAATTTCTTGTAGCCTCTTTGTACTATCATTGCTGATTTGTTCATCTTGGTTGCCTCCCCAGGGCTGTGTCTGAAATCGCCCCCTATACCCTTAAATAGGGCACTATTTGAGGGAACAGCCATTTTTAGTGGTGTCCGAAACCATAGTGGACGTTCTCGAGTGCACTCATTCAATCCCACAATGCACTGCAAAAACGAGTGTACAACTGGTGCACGCTCAACGGCTAGAGAATGCCCATAATGCACCGTGAGAGTCACATGCCGAATGAATTCCCGCATCTCGCCAGAAGATTAATTCTTACTGTTAATTTAAGTTAGATTAAGTTAGATTAAGTTAATTTTTACAAAGCACTCATCCATGGCATACAGTATAATGTACAACACGGGTATAAATTCATTGTAAATTGATTATTAAATTGTTTGATTAGGGTTTATACATAATTTCCGTGACAGAGGTCAAGATAAATCCTTTAATCTTACTACTGGAGCTGCTAGTTTGCTAGTTTCAAATGATTAATAAACAGCAAGCACAAACTGCAAAAGCGGCATTCCTTCCGGTGCACTCAGTGTCCGAATTCACTACTCGTTTTCAGTCGGTTTCAGTTTTCTAGTGAACTGAATTAGTGACCTAATGTAGGGAATAGTGAATGAGGGTATAGGGGGCGATTTCGGACACAGCCAT